AACTCTAAAATGTCCTTTACCTTTCCTCCTAGGGCAGGGTATTTTGATTTGTAAAAGATTCTCAAACATCTACTGAACAGACCTGGGCAATGCTCTTGCGTCTCAAGTGAATGCATTTGTCTTTAAATGTCATTTTGAAATAATTTCATACGATTAGATATGCAAATATATAATTAAGTGTATATTTTTATAAATGCATAAGTAGTATATACTTTAGGCCCTGCGTACCACGCTATGTATTATCAAATATAACATATATTATAAAATATACACATAAAATCAGGATATGAAATGTTCTTCCTCATGAGCTTTAAGAATTTTCAATTTCTTTTTCATTTTTATTATGTGAAAATGATAGTAACATGAACCATATCTTTCCTCATGTTTTTTTCCCTACATATCTCAAAGACTTGTTACAGATTAAAGACAGAGTAATCTCATTTTTTACTATGAGATGTAGTTTAATAAATGCAATAGAATATAAGAAATACGAATACTTTATGTCAATTAAGAGCAGGGACTATGGGACTGGGGTTGTAGCTCAGAGATAGAGCTCCTGCCTAGTGCGTGTGAGGTGCTGGGTTCGATCCTCAGCACCACATATGAATAAATAAAAAATAAAGGTTAAAAAAAAAAGAAAAAAGAACAGGGACTATGTCTCCAGATGGTCCAGTTGAAAATATTGGTTTTGCCACTCGATAGCTTTGTGAACTAAGGCAAGCTGATTAACCTCTCAGATTTGTTTTCCTCATCAGCAAAATAGAGAGGTTATAATAGTAGCTATCTCTTCAGTTTTTTTGTTTTTAGATTTGACTGTATCAGTGTATATATCATGCTTAGAATATTGCCCAACCCCTAAGTGTTAGCAGCTATTGTGATGCTATTTGGAAACCATCATTACAACTGGCAGCTATATAAGATGCATATTCACACATAGAAAGTTAAAGAAGTACTACCTTTATGTGGTTATTGATAGATGGAGGAAAAGATTCATAGCTATACTGCCAGTGAACTCGGTAGCTCTATTTTTATTGCTTCTTAATGGAGACCCCAAAAGTACATAGGAAA